TTGAGCTCTGTTTAGACAGGGTATTAGATAAATGGTTTTGTCAATGGACTTTTACGTCACATGTTATTTTTTAATAAGGGATAAGGGAGGGGGGATGATTTCTTCTCAGGGGCCCTCTCCCCACCCTGTGTTGGTTAATTTCAGGTGGATAAGTGGACAGTTGTGATTTGGGGGTATACAAAGATTCATTCAATCTTTCAAAAAAAGAAAAACAGCAACGTGAAAATAACACAACGGCTTGAGCTTTGATATCATTCTCAATCACTTAAATGTTAAAAATAAATATTGTGTATATTTGACTATTTTGGAATGAAATCTATTTAAATTTAGTAGATTATGGCTGCGTCACACTGAAACAGATTGTAATTGGCTTTAATTTGCTGCTTTAAAACCAAGATGTAGTTTGTGATTTGGTGGTATGTAAAGATTCATTCAATCTCATTTTTAAAAAAGCGTCTAAAAATAAAATAGAAAAAAAGCTTCTAAATGTCACTCAAAATCATTTGACTGACATGACGTTACGAAGAGATTCCATCTAGTGATGTCACTCACTGTGACATCAATGTAAGTGACATCATAGTTGCTGTGACATCACTACACTATGACATTCCAGCATTAGAGGTGTCATTTCTCAGTGATCATCAAGCGACCTGCCAGCGATTTTCACTGCTCTTTGACAACAGTTCTGTATCGGCTAATCTACACCAAAACCAAGTAGCAAAATGACCAATATGGAACAATCTTCAAATGTACTCTGGAGTTACATTGTTGAAGAAGAGTTTTTTGATTTAACAGAAAACTTTGATGAACATTTCGAGCGTCCGGAATCTGAAAATTCCTACACGACGTGCGCGAGTGGATCTGGACACGACCTGTCGGACAACAAATCCTTCGTTTCTGCTTGTTCGGAGCTAAATTCTGGCGAACCACAGGAAGAGTTCGGTTCACTTGAGAACATTGATGAACATTTCGACCGGACGGAATCTGAAAATTCCTACACGACGTGCTCGAGTGGATCTGGACAAGACCTGGCGGAAAACCAATTCCAACAATCCACTAATCCTGTGACAGTAGAATTGGAAAAGGAAACTGTGTCAGAGAAACACTGCTCTCAGACAGCTGCTCTGTCTGGTTATAGCCTCCCCCGTGTTCCTGCACATCATCATGGTAGGAAAAACTTAAATCATCATCTACCAAGTTATCCACATCTGGCAAACCCTCAGAAAGAATGGACCCTCGCTTACGCCCCTGGTTCAGACCAACTTCATCAACATGGACACTATCACGAACCAAGACCTCTGCGCCGCCCTGCACACAAACAAATTAATTATCTGGAACACCAGTTGGAGATCCTGACGAACAAGCTGCAAAATGCGAATTATTTTCTGACGCAAGAAAAAGACAGAAGGGTTTCAGCTGAGAAGGACTGCCAAAGGTACGAGCTTGAAATGAAGGATCTTAAAGGCAGATTGGAGAAAGAGTGTCAGCTCAGACAAAAATGCGAGACAGAGCTCAGCAAAACTTACGATCAGGTATGCAGATTTTATAATAGCGTTGAAGAAATTGAAAAATCGCTTGGGGAAAATAATGAGCAGTTCAAAAAAGAACCGAAAGAAAAAACTGCCTCCAATGCTGAGATGTCCTCAATCCAGCCATCTAAAGAGGAGGAAATTCCTACCAGAGAAGTACCAGCGGCCATAAAGGACATGGAAGATTCTGAAACAGAAAAGGAACCAGCGGTCACAAACAACATGCAGGATTCTAAAACAGAAGAGGAGGATATTCCTACCAGAGAAGAACCAGCGGCCATAAAGGACACAGAGGATTCTAAAAAAGAACTTAGTGGAGAAACGGTTAGGAGTGGGATCGAAATAAATCCGGAGGAACTGGATGAGCAGTATCCAGGAGGATCACAGCATGAAGCGAACCAACCCCCGGCACCAGCAAAATACAGTGAAGGGGACGGCCACTCATCACCAGATTCACTGTTAAGTATTTTATTGGCCAATTACGTTTCACCGTGGAGAGAAATAAAGAAATCCATGACGCCAAAACACCGGCGTCAATACAAAAACCAACGTGGATTTAAAAGAGAAGAGGGGGATTGGAGTGGGATCGAAATTAAAGCAGTCCTTCAAAATTGGAATGAACTGGACAAGCAGAAACCAGGAGGATTGCAGCAAGAAGCGAAGCGACTCCGGGCACCAGCAAAATACAGCGAAGGGGACGACTTATCATTACCAAGAACACTGAGAAGTTTCTCCTCATTGACCAACTACGTTTCACCGTGGAGAGAAATAAAGAAATCCATGACGCCAAAACACCGGCGTCAATACAAAAAACAACGTCCATTTGAAAGAGAAGAGAGGGATTGGAGTGGGATCGAATTTAAAGCATTCTTTCAAAATCCGGAGGAACTGGATGAACAGAGACCAGGTGGATCACAGCAAGAAGCGAACCAACCCCCGGCACCAGAAAAATACAGCGAAGGGGACGACTTATCATTACCAAGAACACTGCTAAGTTTCTCCACATCGACCAATTACGTTTCACCGTGGAGACAAATAAAAAAATTCATGACACCAAAACACCGGCGTCAATACAAAAACCGACCTGGTATGAGATAAAAATCATCCAATGTTATCCTCCAAAAGAAGAAGAAAAAAAAAAGCTTTAAAAAACAGCAAGTTTTAGCTCCTGAATGAATTATCTCATCTTATTTGAAGATTTTCAGTCAGAATTTTGAGCTCATCATAGTACAGAGACAGCGCTGGTCAAAATGACTAATGACCTCCTAACGGCATCAGACAAAGAACTTGTCTCCGTATTGGTTTTTACTAGATCTTAGTGCTGCTTTTGGCACCATGGAGCAATGGAGTTCCACAAGGATCTGTGCATGGACTAATCCTTTTTATGTTATATATTCTTCCTGCAGGTGTTCATGGAACTGTGGAAGCAGGATCTGTGAATGGGAGTCTCCTGCTTCCACTGTTCATTGTCCTTTTGCTATTATTACTGTTATCATTATCATTACTCTCAATATCTTTACCATTTTCCATCCAGTCTATGTGTTACTCTGTAGGCTGCCTCCCTCCGCTCCCTCTGTCCTTCTCTCCGGCTCTTTCTCTTGCCCTCTCTCTTTCTCACCCCCAACCGGTCGAGGCAGATGACCGCCCACCCTGAGCCATGGTTCTGCTCGAGGTTTCTGCCTCTTAAAGGAAGTTTTTCCTCGCCTGTGTTGCCTAGTGCTTGCTCTTGGTGGGAATTGTTGGGCTTCTGTAAATAACCTCAGAGTAGGGTCTGACCTGCTCTGTTTGGAAAGCGCTGTGAGATAACTGTTGTTGTGATTTGGCGCTATGTAAATGAAGTTGAATTGATCTGCATTATTGTTCAAATGATTAATAAAGCATCATTAAATGTAAATACTTTGTGTTCTGTTGCATCTTTTCACATTTGACTTCTGCACTGACTTAAAGTGCTTTGTTCTTCTTCACTGAGTTCATCATTGTTTTATTCACGTATTCTGGATTTCCTTTCAAATATAAAGGATATTCATTTCTGTGTAAATTCACTAAAAGATTTGAAATAATTCAATACATTCCAACAACAAAACAAAACAATATTGTGTGGACATAAAAAAAAA